GGTCTTTCTGTCGGCCACCGTCTGCGCCGGCCCCGTCGCGCTCAGCGAGGCGAGGTGCTGGCGGGCAGGATGGTTCGGCAACAGGCAGGAGATCCCGTCGACCACGGACGTCGAGCTCGCGCCCTTCACAAAGCGGGCCGGCCCCTCGCCTTCGAGCTCCAGCATCCGAGAAAGAGCCACGCGCCGCGAGTGAGCACTCGCGCGGCGACGCCGAGCATTCCTCTTGACCGAGATCGGCGGCGCATGTAAGAGGAGCGATTGAGCCTCGCTGAAGGTGAAGTCGCCGTGTATCATAGCAAAGTAGGAGGGTTTGGCGCCCCATCCACCATCGCCAGGTGCACTTTGATGTCGCCAATCACATTCGGCACTCCCTCAACCGTCAGGTCATGTCATGGCTGCGTGCATTATAGATGACCATGGTGGTTGAAGTCTTAACAGATGCTTGCAGAACTCGTCCAGTCACCAAGCCGTCGTGGGCACTAGTCACAGCGCGCCCAGCCCAGCAAGCAAACGAGGGAAGCAAAATCGCCGTGCCACCGCGGATCAGACCAGCGCGGAACGTGATGCTGGGGTCGAGGGGCGAGAGGAAGGGGCGCAACTGGATCTCGTCCAGGTGCACTTCCTGAAGACAGTCGACTGTGCCACAAGGACGAGCCGAGCAAGGCGATCCCGCTTCAAGCTTGCCTTTGAACCGGCAGCCTGCAACAAAACGCGTGGCGAACCGAAGGGGGCGCGCTGGCATCCCGATCGTTGCGCGGGCACGTTGAAATAATTGGACGATGCCAACGACAACACAGCTCCTCAGCCGCGTGCTCCGGGAGCGGGCGGCGCGCGCGGGAGCAGCCCTCCTTGGACACGAGATGCTTCTCGGGCATCGGCGGCTGCCGCCAGGGCCGCGGGGCCCGTCACCCGGGAACGCCTCCGCGCGCGCGATGCGGCCCCAGCCTGCCGAGTGAGTGTCACGGTACATGTCCACGAAAAGCTTGGCGTTGGGATACTCAGCCACAAGCCCCTGGCGCACGCAGCGACGAGCGACCTCCACGCGCATCCGCTTCAGACTCCTGCCGGGCTCAAGGTGCAGCCGACGCGCAGCCGCGCCAGGAACCGCCGCAGCGAACCCGCGCCGCGTCCCATCACGCTTCTCGAGGTGCGAAAGAGCCTGACCAGCACGACGCGCTCCAGGCCCAGGGAAGCCGAGGAACTGGATAGCGAAGCGTTTGCACTGAGCCGCAGCCAAGGCTTCGATCTCGAAGTCCGACTCCTCGAAGCCAATCGAACCGATCCACTGCGCCAACGCATCCTTGACCGACGCGACGGTGGTGGCCACTTGCGAGACAGCGATGATTTCAGCGGGGTCGACAACGCGCTCGAGGCCACTAAATATCACTAGTGCAGGGCGAGGCTGTTCTTCATCGATAACGAACTGGCGCTTGAACATGTCCACGTCTTTCGGAAGGGCGGCGAGGGAGCTGCCGTGCTACTCTGCCTGGACGTGCTGCTGCTCGAAGCGAACGGTGTGTTAATCGAGTTGAAGTTGAAGCTGGCGCTGGGCTGCATCGACCTGCGGGCGCACCGCAGACATGATACTCGTCTTGGCGCCCTTGGCACCCTTACCCTTGGCGCCCTCGCGGCCCTTGCCCTGGATCACGCCCTTGGCGCCCTTGGCCTTGCCCTTGGCGCCCTGGCTGCCGCACGCCCGCAGGCGGCCCCGCTCCTCCTCAGCGCGCTCTAAATACAACAGCCTGCGCACCGACGGGGCGCCCACCGCCGGCGGGGCCGCCGACGCAACGCCAAGCACGGGCAACTCCAACGCCCGGCGGAGGGGATGATCCAAGAACTGGATCGCCTGCTGCGCTCCAAACGACGCCGCCCAAAATTGCAACTTCACCTTGAAGGTGCCAGGGATGCGAACCGTCGCGCCAGAGGCCTACTCCCAGCGACGTTGCTTAAAGACCGCCCGCATTACACCCTTCTCCTCCATGAGGAGCCAGACCCACGGCGTCGGCGATCCGTGCTGGTCCGCGCTGCTGTCGGGCAGCGGCCACTGCACCCCCAAGAGGGACGCTAAATCCTGACCCACTGCCGCCAGCGTGGCCTGCCGCAGCTCCTTGTACTGCTGCTGCCCCCCGTGAGCCTGCCACGCCTGCTCAAATATAAAAAAGCTTCGATAACCAAGCTGGTAGACTGGAGCATCTGCCTGATTCGGCACGAAAGGCACCCCAGGCACTCCTCTTGCTGGGTCTGGCGCTCTTCAAGGGCCGTCAGTCGGCGGGCGTTTCCGCACGGCGCTCTGAGGCAGCACCCATCGCAACGGGCAGTTCACTCCACTCACTGGACCACACACTAGAAACGAAAGGGGCTGCCGCCCAATGGTCCCCCGCTGCCACCCGCCCGCGAATGCCCCCAGCCCCCCCCCGCCACCACCACCACCACCGCCACCACCACCCACCACCACCACCACCACCACCACCACCACCACCACCACCACCACCACCACCACCACCACCACCCACCACCACCACCACCACCACCACCACCACCACCACCACCACCACCCACCACCCACCACCACCACCACCACCACCACCACCACCACCACCACCACCACCACCACCACCACCACCCACCACCACCACCACCACCACCACCACCACCACCACCACCACCACCACCACCACCACCACCACCACCACCACCACCACCACCACCACCACCACCACCACCACCACCACCACCAAGGGTACCGCGGGCCGAGGGCGGCAAGCAGCCTTCCGGCGAGAGCCAGGTCCGCTGGGCGGGGGGCGGTGAGCAGCTCTTCGGAGCGGCGAGCACCAATCAGTGTGCGTGCGTACAGCATGGAAGGGGAGAGGGGTAGGGGAGGGGAGGGAAAGGGCCGCTTCCTGGCGAAAAAAAATGGCATGCCAATTGCGGCCAGCACCACTGCAACATATTGCCAGCATTAGCAACGGTGAAACACGACGAATGGAACAAACCGGGTGGCGGACAGGAAAGAGAAGAGGGGCGGATGAGCAACGATATAATGAAGTCAAGCGGATGCAAGCGGAGGACAACAGTATGCAGTGACAAGGGAAACTGTTACACGGTCGTCGTCACACACTTCGTCCTCGTCGAAGTACTCAACCAGTCAAATGAGGATGAAGCCGTTTGAGTCAGGACAGAAATCATCATTGCCTGTGCGTGAAAAGAGCCTAGGTTCGAGCCCTATCTTCTTGCCAAGCCAGTGGTGAAAGGGCTGGCATTATCTGCACAGACTTTGGCGGCGGAGCGATAAACAAATAGCCATGAGCGGAAAACTGTCGCCATTGGAACCGTCTGCCACACGCGTTGCACCCTCGCGCATCGCCAACTCGCACCAGTGCCAACTCGCAGCCACTGGCCCCTGCATTGAAGCCCTCTGTGTCCGAACGCAGGATCGGGAATCCGTGACCCCAAGCAGCCACCCCAGGAACAGCTGGAGGGAGGAGCGGGCAGGCGCGGAGGAATGGGCGCGGGGGGCACTCCGCGGGGGAGGGTGAGCGTGAGCCAAAACGGCTGCGGACAGAGGCCTGGGGAAGGAAAAGGAGGAGGGGGAGGAGGAGGGCGAGGATCCTTGAAGCTCGTCCAGGGACGGCTCAAGTCATCGGGCACTCCAGCGCCCGCGCCTCGCCGAAAGCCCTTCATGGACGCCGGCATCTTCCCGCACGGGCTTCTCTGGCCCGACCTCTGGCCAGAGACCCCGCGCAGTCCTCCAACGTCGCGAAAAAGACCGTCGCGGCCGCGTTTTTGCCTGAGTTCCCATGTGTTTCCACGTCCGGGTGGTCGCTCTCGCGCACCGTGGCATCGTCAAACCGTGGCCCCAGCGAGAAGCCAGTCCAGGAAGTGGCGAGGGAGAGCTCTGGGGCCCACGTCGCGAACAACAGCACGACGTCGCGGGTCCGAGGCGGTACGCCTCTGATCGCGCGCGCCCCTGACCGCGACCGACGACCGGCTGGCTTTCGCTGGCCTACGGACTCCTACTTGGGCGCCTGGTGGGTCGCACGGCCGCTGAGGCTGGCGAAGGCCATGGGGCCAGCTGCGGCCCTCTCGTCGAAGAGCCCCGCCACCGCGCGATACGCTGTGCTGACGGATCCTCACTGTCGGGGGTCTCCAGAGGCTGCCGGAGGTCTTCCATCCTGAACGCCCGCGCCCGCGGTGCCTCCGCGCCGGGACGGTACGAACCTGTCCTAGATGGCCACGCCACCAGGCGCTCAATCTCAGTGGGTGCGGACTTGGCGGCTGCAATTGGCATTCGAAGCGAACACGCATAGATCGTCGGTCGCACGCCAAAGTGACATGGACAGGGGTGCCTGCCGCCGATCCAAGAAAGTGTCTGTTCATGTATTTGTTGCTTCTCGGCCCTCCGCTGCCACTGGGGACCCCTCTGCCAAGGGATCGCCTGGCGCTGTGCACTCTCTCCTCCGACGTTCCTTTTTGTTCGTGACGTCGACCCCTGGGGCATCCCTGGCGCCAGATTTGCTTGATTGCTTCAACGCGTGGGTGCCTAGACCTCTGGACCACTTCTCAGGGACCATTTGTTCGTCCCAAACAACTAGCTTGTTGACGGCCCCGGGGCCGTCAAACGGCCCCCAGAGGCCGAAAATCCTGCAGGTCACTGTGGAGGCCTACGGCCAGGAACTTCTGCTTAGCGTATCGCGGCGGTGGCCCCAGCGACACGCTATGCCCTGCACACGGATAGCATGTCGCTCCGCTTGGCTGGACGGGGGGCTCGGGAAAGGCTCGGAACGTGGACGCCGAGGGACTGGGCAATGGATTGCGTGCCGCGCCGGGTCGCGGCGCGCCAGAGGCGGCGGAGCGACACGCCGACCAAGAGCTCCCGACCGTGAGGAGGCCCCAGGGCCCGCGGACGCCGACAAACCGGCCGCCACGATTCCGCGCCGCCGGCGCCCGAGCCGCGGCCGCGCGCCGGGCGCTTGGGCCCGAGGTGCGGCGGCGCGCGGCGGCGGCGCGGCGGCGGCGCGGCGGCGGGGCACGGGCCGCGGCGGGCAGAGCCGCTAGGGGCCCTCCGCCGGGTGGTCCGAAGGCGCCCCGTGGCGCCGCTTCAGGACGGCCTGCAGGGGCCGGCCGACGGCCGGGTCGGACGGAAGGGAGGAGGGAGGGGAGGGGGGGGGCTCGAGCCTGGCAGCGTCTGCCGTTCTCATCGCGTGCTCGGTTTCCCTTGTGCCGTCTCCGCTCTGCCCTCGCTGCAGGAGGAAGACGCCGCGAGAACGGTCCACGGAATCGCCCCCGAGCACCTTTTGAGCTCGAGCCCTGGAGGGGGGGCAAAGGGATCCTCCCACCTCCTCCCGACGTTAAAAAAACACGACGGGAGTTGATGTCCACCATTTCCATTGTTACATGACAAGCATTAGGTCTCGGCCCTGCTGCATACGAACGCAATTACCGTGAAGGTTTCGTGCTTCATCTTCATTTCCAACTTTGGAAGGGATCTCAGGGGGCCCTCGCCTGGCCCGGGGACCGCCAAAGAGCGAGTCGGGATGCAGAGCCAGTCCTGCAGAATGGGCCCAGAGACCTCGGGGGGTCGGCGTTCTGACAGCATCCAAAATCACGACGTCGGAGTTCTGTTCTGCGCAGGGGGAGGGGGGGCTGGCTCGGGGGGGGGGGGGACACTGACGTGAGCCTATCACCCCCTGACGCTACCCCTGAGGGGACATGATAGGCTAGGCGAGGCGAGGCTAGGCTAGGACCGATCGCGAAGCGAGGTTACAGGACCCGACCACCACCCGAGCCGTCAGGGGAGGCGGCTCAGCTCAAGTAGCGCCATTTTCCCGGCGCCTCCCGGCGCCGGGGGATGCGCGCGTGCATCGAGGAAGGGTGCCCAGCGGCGGGGCCGAGACCGTCCGCATGCAGCAGGCTTCGTCGCGGCGCCCCCCTCTGCCCTGCAGCGGGGGCCCGACCACAAGAAACCTTCCACAGGAGACCCAACCCTGAGGCCCCAGGACGGCCATTGGTTTTTGGTGTGGGGACGTCACGCTCTCCATTGCAAGACCATCGAAGCCCGAGGAGCCCAGGGCACCCTGGAGGCAAGGAGGGTGTTCCGGGACGCGCAGGGGCATACTAATACGATATGTCCTCCTTGGAGGCGCGCGTCCGACCCGAACATACAGTATACCCATCTTGTAGTACATCGTTTCCTGAGCGGTGTGGACACCAAAAGCGCCCGCCACGAGGAAGTATACTATAAGATTTCTCGGTGCGCGCGTCGGCCCTGGGAGGACGACGCACACATAGTACAAGCATGTTGGGGTGGCGCCGCTGCTTCTTGGCATGGGCCTCCGCTGTATCCCCCCGCCTGTTGTCCGACCCGAGATGATGCCGGAGCAGTGGCCCCCGGGGTTCAGGCTGGGGTCCAGGCCGCAGCGGCAGGGGATGCCCACCGCCTCTGCTCCCACCACCTCAACGAAGGATTGCAAAAAAACCCAGGGTTGCAAAAAAAAACCCGAAGGATTGCAAAAAACACCCAGGGTTTTTTTGCAATCCTTCGGTTGTTTTGCAATCCTTCGAGAGCAGCACAGAACGATCACCACGACCAGGGCCAAGACTGCACGCGGACAGCCGGTGCCGATGTTGGCCACCGCCCATGTCGGCCACCGTTCCTCCGCGGACCGTCCTCGCAACTCGACGCCGGCCGGCAAGGACCATGACCAAGGTCGGCGTCGACAGCATCCGACGACAGCTTGGTCCTGGCCATCTTGCATCATCCTGCTTCTACCCTCGAGACCTCGTAGAGCGGCCAGAACGCCTCGGGCACGTCGCTCCAGTCGCCCGCGTCCGGCAGCGGAGCGGCTGGCGCGCCCCCAGCAGCCGCACCGGCGCCCTCGAGGCAGGCCTTGACCTCCCCGGGATCCAGGAATCGCTCGAGGAAGCTCCGCCGCAGAGGGTTCTGCTGCCCCAGACATCCAGGCCTCGGAAAAAAATGGCGAACACTCATGCCACATCCATCTGTGAACGCCTCCCCCTCCCCCCAATGTTCAAAGTTGGCGGTGGGTCTGATGAGTTGCACCTCGACCGCAGTCTCCCCCGCGCGTGCCAACTTTGAGTTTGGGGGGCAAGGGGGGTGTTCACAAATTGTTTCCCTCTACCGTCCAGCGCGTTGAAAACTTCAAGACGGAGGCCTTTCTCGCTGCTCTCGGTCGCCTGCTGACTCCGAGGGCCCTTGCCCGGCCCAGGGATCGTCAACAAAACAACTCGGGGTGGAGAGCCAGCTCTGGTTTGGGGGGAGAAGCGTGCACCTTTCTTGCCCCGTTTGGGCCCCAGAGGGGCCCTTTTGTAGCACGAAAGAGGCCCCTGTTTTCTTCACCCCCCATTTATCGCCCCCCCATTGTGCAACGCCCGGCTGGGGAAGAGGGTCGAGACTTCGGGGGGGCCCACATTGAAAAGATCAAGACGTCGGATGTCTGGGCCCAGGCAGTGCCCAGGGGGGCCACCACCAAGGGGTCGCCAGCCTCCAGGAGGCGGACGCCACATAGCCCCCCAGGACTCCCGAGGACGCCCAACTCCACGATGAGCGATGCATGTCACGCTCCTGCACCTGGAGAGACATCGACAAGGCATCCGATCCCCCAGGACCCACCGCTCAGTGCATTTTTTGTTGCCCAACCATCCTGTAGTGTTGGGTCATCGTTTTGAAGAGCGCCCCGCGACACCTCCTTACTCCTCCCCCTCTTTCCATGCTTGCCTTCTGCCATCCGCATGCCTCCGCTTCAGGACACCCCTCACACGCTTCATGGCGCCATAGGGAGCTCCACTGAAGGCCCCGGAGGCGGTGTTCGCATATGTCCCACTGCAAATGTCGGCACACCCCCCACACGGTTCGTGGCCCCATAAGGAGCGCCATCCAAGGCCCCAGTGGCGGTGTTCGCACGCGTCCACCCCCACACCCGTTTCGGTACCCCCCTCACACGCTTCGTGACCCTATAAGGGAGTTCCACCCAAGGCCCGACAGGCGGTATTCGCACGCGTCCCCCCCGCCAATTCAGGCACACCCCTCCCACGCTCCGGATCTCCATAGGGAGCTCCACCGAAGGCCTCAGTGGCGGTATTCGCATGCATCCTCCCCGCACATGTCGGCACACCCTTCACACGCTTCGTGGCTCCATAAGGATGCACACCGAAGGCCCCGATGGCTGTCTTCGCATGCGCGCCCCCATCTATTTCGGCACACCCCTCACACGCTTCGTGACCTCAGAGGAGCTCCATTCAAGGCCCCAGTGGCGGTGTTCGCACGCGTCCCCCCCTCCCACGTCCATTTCTGCACACCCCTCACACGCTTCGTGGTTCCATGGGAAGTCCCACCGAACGCCGCAGTGGCAGTGTTCGCATGCGCCTCTCCCATTAATTTCAGCACATCCCTCACACGCTTCGTGGCCCCATGGGGAGCTCCACCCAAGGCCCCACTGGCCCCCCGCCCATATCGGGACACTCCACTGAAGGCCCCAAAGGCGGTATCCGCATGCATCCCCCCGCCCATTTCGGCACACCCCTCACACGCTTCGTGGCCCCATAGGGAGCTCCACCCAAGGCCCCAGCTCCACCAAAGGCCCCAGTGGCGGTGTTCGCACTCGTCCCCCCGCCAATTTCGGCACCCCCCTCACACGTTTCGTGGCCCCAAAGAGGCTCCACTGAAGGCCTCAATGGCTGTATCCGCATGCGTCCCCCCCGCCCATTTCGGCACACCCATCACACGCTTCGTGGCCCCATGGGGAGCTCCACCGAAGCCCCCAGTGGCGGTGTTCGCACGCGTCTCCCTACACAATGTGGACACACCACTCACACGTTTCGTGGCCTCATAAAAGGGGTTCCACCGAAGGGGCCAGTGGCGGTACTCGCATGCGTCTCCCCGCCCATTTCGGCAAACTTTTCGAACGCCTCGTGGCCCCATAGGGAGCTCCATTGAAGGCCCCAGTGGCGGAGTTTGCATGCCTCTTCCCCCACCAATGTCGGCAAACCCCTCACACGCTTCGTGGCTCCATTAGGGAGCTCCACCGAAGGCCCCAGTGGCGGTGATCGCATGCGTCCACCCCCCCATACACAAATTTCGGCACACCCCTCACACACTACGTGGCCCCACAGGGAGCTCCACCGACAATGATGCTCACAACTGCGTTACCCACAACTTCATATGGTTGGGTCCTTCGCCCGGCAATCTTTTGTCAGCGACGACTTGGGCCCAAGACGCGGTCGGGACAGCCGAGGGACACATCGGAGTCTAATTGGGACACGTCGGAGCCTGATTTAGGGGAACAAGAAGTGACATAAACATAAAATCTCCGAGGTCCGCGCGGATTTCTCGGATCGGCGCTGGCGCGCGAAGCGCGCCAGGGGCGGCGCCGGAGGCGCCGCCGGGGGGCCCCAGCGCCGATCCGAGAAATCCGCGCGGACCTCCGAGTTTTTATGTGTATGCCACTTTCTGTTCCCCCATGATTGAGCCTGCAGTTCGTGGGAGGACAACCCCATCCTGCCGCGCCAATGTCAAAACGCTTGGGCGATAGGCGGTGGCAAGCAGCTGCTGGCAGGACGCACTCGGCCCGCCGGCCGCGGAAGGATCACCGTGGGTTCGGGCATCCTCAAGCCCACCCTCAAGCCCAGAAGAGCACCCCCAAGCCCGTCTCTTTCTCCTCCTCCTCCTCCTCCGCCTCCTCCTCCTCCTCCTCCTCCTCGTCCTCCTCCGTCTCCTCCGCAGGCTTGGCGGCACGTTTCTTCTGAACTCGGCGGCGGGAGAATTCCTGCCGTCCCCCAGGGCGCCTGGGTCAGGGGCAATCGCCCGCAAGCGGGCCTGGGTTTCAAGCCGTTCATTCGTGCGGAGCGGCGCCCTGGGCCGGCTGTAGGTGTCCCGGAAGAGCACGAGTTGGGAGCACTTCCCTGGGTTCAGTGGCCCACTCGCTGACAGCGGGTTCCATGCATCCTCCTCCTCCTCCTCCTCCTCCTCCTCCTCCTCCTCATCCTCCTCCTCCTCGTCTTCCTCGATCCTCGATGTCAAAAAGGTGGTGGTGACCTGGATACATCCAAAACGGTATAAGCATAATTTGTTGGAGGTCCGCGCGCATTTCTTGGATCGGCGCTGGACGCCCCTCCCTGGCGCGCGGAGCGCGCCGGGGGCGCCGTCAGGAGGACCCAGCGCCGATCCAAGAACTGCGCACGGACCTCGAACAAATGATGTCCATGCCGTTGTGTATGCATCAAGGTCACCACCACCTTTTTGAAATCGAGGATCGAGGAGGACGAGGAGGATGACGCGGAGGAAGAGGAGCAGGAGGAGGAGGAGGAGGAGGAGGAGGAGGAGGAGGATCGAGAAGGATCGAGGAGGACACCGAGGCGGAACGATGAGAGGAAATCGAGGAGATCGAGAAGGATCGAGGAGGATCGAAGAGGAAATCGAGGAGGTCGAGGAGGATCGAGGAGGACGAACGGTTATGTTGATGTAGTTTCTGCCCTTCGATGACCCCCTGGCCTTCCACCAGCTTCTGCCGGCGGAGCCGCCCTCCTTTCACTTCCGCCGCCTTCCGCCGAGGAAGAGATGACAACTCCCCCGATCCTCGAAGGCGAGGCCCCTTGTGGAGTGCCTCATTACGTCCTCCCTCTCCTCCTCCTCCTCCTCCTCCTCCTCCTCCTCCTCCTCCTCCTCCTCCTCCTCCGCCTCCTCCTCCTCCTCCTCCTCGACCCTCAATTTCAGGGAGGTGGTGCTGACCCCCGTCCAGGTGGCCCCCCCCCTGTTGCACTGCCCCGTGCTCGCCGGCGCCCTGCGCCTCCCCCGCCACGGCCAGCAGCGCGCCCGCGGCCGGGGAGGGCGGCGGCGGGCGCCCGGTGCACGCGAGCTGCCGCAGCCAGGGCAGGTCAGCGCGGTAGCGCTGCGTCGCCTCGCAGCGCACGTGGCCCAGGGTGTCGTCGTCGAAGTACCAGCCATGGCCAGAAGAGGGAAGAGGGGCATCGCATACAGGAGCGGCGGAAAAAGAGGGGGGGCCTCACGCACGCAGGCAGAGCGGCCCTGCGCGGTGGCTCACGCGGGCCGCCCGCGCGGCACGCTACATTGGAAACGAACGCGATTGCGCGCGGCCTTACGCGGGCAGCTGACGCGCCACGGCCCCGTGTATCTGCGTCGCGCTCATGTATCCTTCTGGGGGTCCATGCGGATTTCTCGACTCTGCGCTGACCCCTGGCGGCGCCTGCGGCGCCACCCCTGGCGTGCTGCGCGCGTCAGGGAGGGGTCCGGCGGCCAGCGCCAATCCAAGAGATCTGCGCGGGCCTATGAGAGACTATAGGAATGCCGTCCTTTCCTCTCCGAATAGTCCACGGACAACTGCTCCCACGGCATGACGATCCGCTTCGTCACGACTTCCAGGCGCGAGTGGCCCTCGGAGCCCTTGCCGAGGTTTCGGAAGCTGCAGTTCGGGCTGCAGCTGCAGTTGATGAAGCGCATGGTGTTGCCGAGCGCGAACGCGTCCACTACGACTCCTTTGCCTGCCGGGCCGTCCCCCGTCCAGGCGGCGTAGAGTTCCTCGCGGATGAAGGGCACCGCATGATCGCTGCCACGGGCCGCGCGCTTGCGGGACTTGATTTCCTCGACCCACACGTCGTAGCTGCGCACCTCGCCCGTGTACTCGCCGAGCCTCTCGCCCTTGCGCAGCTCCTGCGTGGTGAACACGCCGTAGCCGCAGGGCGGCGCAGGTGCGACCAGCAGCCCTGGGTGCGTGGGGATTGCCGGGCCGCCTTGGGGAGAATGCCATCTGCACATCAACACCGATTCAGGCCAGGCGAATCCTCGACCCAGGATCGGCGCATATGCCTCCCTGGCCCAGCCAGGACGGCGCACGCACCGATCTTGGGCCCGGGATGGGCCAGGATCGGTGCCGCTGCATCGGGCCGTCGCCGCCCGACGCCTGGCGCTGGCGGCCGCAGGCCGTCGCGCGCCACGCAGCGCGCCAGCGGCCCGCACTGCAGCGCGCCGCTCGGCAGCACGAAGCCCAGACCCACGCTGCCGCTCCAGGCGAAACCCTCGGGCGACAGCTCCGCCGCGGCCCTGGCCGCCCCCTCCGCCGCGGCGGTCACCGCCTCCGCGCCCACGGCGCCCCGCTCCGCCCCCGCGGCGCCGGGCGCCGCGAGCGCGCCGAGGTGCGCCGCGAGCGCGAGCAGCGCTGCGCCCGTGCGCTCCCTGGCCGCCTCGAAGCCCTCGGCGGCCACGGGGCCGCCCGGATGCCCGCTGCCGGCGGCCGCGGGCCCGGCAGCCAGCATGGAGGCCGGGCGTCTTGCCGCGGGGCGGCCGCGCGTCATGCTGAGGGGCAGCGCTAAGGCCTTCGGGGGGGGGGCGAGGACGGGGTTGCGAGGGTGAGGAGGACAAACCCGGGCATTCGCGCGAAAGTTCAGGCACGCATCTTGCTCGAGGCTGATGGGCCAACGAAAAAGGGGAGGGGGGAGATTCGGTCTTCTTACAACCCGAACGACACTTTATAACAGAGATAAGTCACTTTACAACCAGCAAAGGATCGAATTCCCTGGTTTGCCTGTGAGAACGACCACTTTACAACTGGAACAGCACTTTACAACCAGAACGACCACTTTACAACCCAGACGGGGCTCTCTGCAACCAGAACGGCCACTTTACAACCAGCCTTCAGAAGCGCGCGCGCGCGCTCTGAAGGGGGGCTTTTGAAACTTCTGAGCGCCTGGATGCTTTGCAGAGGCATCTGAGCGCCTGAGCGCTTTGCAAAGGCTTCTGAGCGCCTGAGCGCTTTGCATAGGCATCTGAGCGTCTGAGCGCTTTGCAGAGGCGTCTGAGCGCCTGAGCGTTCTGCAAAGGCTTCTGAGCGCTCGAGCGCTCTGCAGAAGCCTCTGAGCGCCTGAGCGCCTTGCAGAAGCCTCTGAGCGCCTGAGCGTTCCGCCAAGGCCTCTGAGCGCCTGGGCGCTCTGCAGAGGCTGCTGAGCGCCCGAGCGCTCTGCAGAGGCCTCTGAGCGCCTGAGCGGCTTCTGGGCGCGTGGGCGCTTTGCAGAGGCTTCTGAGCGCCTGGTCGCTTTGCAGAGGCTTCCGAGCGCCTGAGCGCTCTGAACCCTCTGTTCAGCGAGAACCAAAAGTGCGAACGATGCAGCAAGAACAACTTGAAATCCGCATGCATTGGCTACAACGTAACCAGCGATTTCTTGGGCCCTTTTTCCGCCCTCCTGGGTACGCATGCTTCCGCAACTCCGCAAACATACGGTTTTACGGTTGCCAGACGATGGGGCGCGAAAGCAAACATGGCCCACGATGCAAAACGCACAATTTGACATCCACATGCGCTGGCTAGGTTTTTACCACAACGACTTCTTGGCCACATTCCTGCCCTCCTGGGTACGCATGCGTCCGCCAATGCGAAAACATGTTGTTTTGCTATGAAGCGCGAGGACGAAACTTGTTTGTGATGCCAAAAACAACAAATTGGCATCCACAAGTACTGGCCCGAGTGTTACCATCGATTTCTTGGCCACGTTTCCGCCCTCCTGGGCGCGCGTGCTCGCAATTACGAAAACCGTAAGTTTTCGTGGCTGCCAGACAATGAGGCACGGGGACAAACATGGTCGATGCCAAAAAACAACCGCAATTTGACATCCACATGTATGGGCTAGAATTAAACCAGCGAGTTCGTTTCAACATGTCTGCCCTCTTGGGCACGCATGCGACCGCGAACGCGCAAACATGAGTTTCTGCTTGTGCCAAACGATGAGGCGCGAGGACGAAAGTTGTCTGTGAGGCCAAACACACCAAATGACATTCACATGGATCGGCTAGAACGTTACTATCAATGTCTTGGCCACATGTCCGCCCTCCTGGACACGCAGGCTTCCGCAACTTATGATAACATCATGTGTTTTGATTTTCCCCGCGATTATCAGACGAGGAGGCGCGATGACAAACATGGTTGTCAAAAAACAACCACTTGAAATCCACATGTATTGGCTAGGAGGGGTACCGTCGTTTTCTCTGCCACCTTTCCATGTATCTGGGTGCGCATGCTTCCGCACATGCGAAAACATACGCTTGCGTCGTTGCCAGACGATGAGGCGCGAGGGCAAAATATGACCATGAAGCAAACAATGACATCCGAATGTTCTCGCTAGATATTTACCAACCTGTTGGCCACATTTCCGTTATCCCGGGATCGCGCGTTTTTCTTTGCGCGCGAACGCTTACTGTTTTCTACGTCCAGAAACCGCAGGATTTTCAGGCAGAGGTTATGAGGCCCCCAAAAGTGTAGACTTAGGCATGGATCTGAAACACTTCAACAGCCCAGGCCTGTCACCAGCCTGTAGCAGAAGGAACTCTATTGGATCTCGATTAGGTTCCAATAGCTCTGTTTGGGTACCACAAGGAATACCAATAGGACGCCAATCGGGGCACATAGTGAGTCAAAGAGGGCAAGTTTTTGTTGACTGATGGGTCCTGATGGAATCCAAGCCCGTCTGGATCAAAAACGAAGGATTTGAATTCAATGTCAATGCGATATCCTTCGTATTCGCCCATATGGCTCTGATGGGATTCCAAGAAACACGGTTCCTACGGTTTTCGAATGAGAGCCCACAAGAATGCCCACCGAGTTGCCAGATAGTAACTACCCCCAGCGCGTTTCCCGCAGCATTCCAATAGGAAGGTTTCTCGATTGTAATCCAATGAGGTTTCCAACCGGTTTCCATCAGGCAGGGCCCCAACGGACTTCAATAGGAAACATCCCTATCGGATTCCAATAGGACGCCCGTAGGCCCAATATCGAGGAATCTTGTTGGATACCAATGGGTTTCATCTGGTGCCAACAGGATCCCCATGGGAAGGGTGCCAATAAGATTCCATTAGGAGTCCTTTTGGATCCCATTCGGAATCCGCCACTTCATATATTCTCGCTTCAGACGGGTCACTTTACAACCAACACGCTTCAGAAAGCGAAGTGTCTCCCTTACGTGGGACCACAGAGATTTCGGAAATTGAAGAACATGTGTCGCTTGTTTGCGTTTACTCGCCGAGTTGTTAAGTGGCCTTCCTGGTTGTAAAATGCCCTTCTGGGAAAACCCATGCTGGTTGTAAAGTGCGCCATCTGGTTGTAAAGTGGCCGCTCTGGTTGCAATGTGACCCACAAGAGGGGAGGAGGGGGCGGGTCGGGGAAGGGCGGGGGAACGTCTGCCCGGAAACGGCGATGCATCGCCGATGGATCGGCGATTGCCCTCAAATTGCAAGTCCGCACGTTCCTGGGCGGGTTGCGTTATCAGGCCCCTGTCGGTGATCAATGGGCGATTGGGTGTCGAGGCCTTCCCCCTGAGCCTAATTATCCCTCCCTCCCTCTATCGTTGCCCCTGATGGGGGAACTTCGGCCCAGCGTGGCGCGGGCTGTGCGCTGTCGCCGTGCGGGCCCATCAGTCTTGAAGGACCTCCGCTGCCACACATCCCAGAGGCCGTTGGGAGACCTCCGTCTGGAGTGCCTGCCCCCGCGCTGCCTCCGTCCCGCGCACATGTCCCCTCCTGGGGGCCGGCGGAACGGCGCAGGCCTGCTGGATAATTGATTATCCAGTTTGTGGGCTCGATCCAGGAGCAACGTTGGACGCTCCTGGGCTTCACGTGGGCCCCAAAGCAAAACCCAGGCTGGCCCCAAACCAGCCCGATGTTCAATGGCATTCCGACGGACTTACGGCCCAACACAGACGTGGTGTCGTTTCGGCCGTTCAACGCCCGCATGAACAACATGGGTCCCTGCTTCACTCCTTCTAGGCAGCGTTCGGGCCGTTGTTGGTTGATCTTGGGCAGGGTTCGGCTTATTTCTGAGTGTTGGTCTGGTGGTCGTTTCGGCGCCCTCTTCGGCAGGAAGAAAAAGAAAGAAACCGGAACCAGAACCGGAACCAGAACCGAAACCAAAACGGAAGAAGGCCGCAAAAAAGGAAACCCAAACCTGAACCAGAACCGGAACCGGAACGCGGACCTGGAGGGCCCCCCGAACCAAAAAAGAAAGAAGGAAACCGGATACGGAACCAGAACCGGAAGGAGGCGTTCGATCTTCGGGGCGCAGAAGAAGAAGAACAAAAGCGAAACCGGAACCGGAACCAAAACCATAACCAAAATCTGAGGCGTCCTTGGGCGCAAAAACGAAAAAGGAAACCGAAGCTGGAACCATAACCAGAACCGGAACCACGACGACTGTCACGGACCAAAAAAAAAATAAACCTGAACCAGAACCGGAACCGGAACCAAAACCGTGACCTGGGAGGTCTTCTAGGGAACCCCGAAGACGAAGGAAAACCGGCACCAAAACCGGAACTGGAACCAAAACCGTGACTTTGGGGATCTTCTTTGGGACCCCGAAGACGAAGGAAACCGGAACCAAAATCGGAACCATAACCAAAACCACGATTTGGGGGGTCTTCACCCGAAGAAGAAGGGAACCGGAACCAAAACCGGAACCGGAACGAAAACCATGACCTGGACGGTCTTATTCGGGATCCCAGAAAAAAAGAAAAGAAGCATAACCAAAACCAGAACCGGAACCAGAACCGTGACCTACTGTGGTGATCTTGGACAGTTGTAAGAATTAGCAGACTTAGCAAGTGGTTTCGGAAACTTAAAAGTTGCGCTAACTGAACGCAAGTAGCTGCAATCACTTGCATGTTGACGTGCAGCCACTGCATCTGTAGCTTCCGAATTGATGATTCTCTACGCGCGAGGCGCAAGGCGAGGGACATTATACACTCGAACGCACAATGTTTTTGCGTTGCTGAGCAGAAGAGAGCAGGTACATCACGCGATGTCTCACCACTTGAACATTGGAGGCACTATCGTGACTGACCCGCCTCCATGGCGCCTGCGTGCCTTGCGCATCTTCGAACCATTCCAGCCAACCACGCGGACGTCCCACCCACCGCAAATGTCCACCATGCATTCTTCACAATTGCACGTGTGCAGTGCGGACAGTTGCTTGCAGACGGCACGCCCGCATAGTTGGTGGCAGTTTGGAAACTTGACAAACGCCCCGCCATGGCAGCGATGATGCCGGTCGCGTGCACCAGCTGCAAGTCGTCGTCGGCTGGGGCCACGGTCAGCACGCCGAGCCGATCATCGTTGCGAGGGGTGTCTCAGATTGAAACCAGCGACACCATCGTTCCGTTTGCAGCAGCGCGAAACCAAACCTCCCCACACGCTCTGCCACCATTGCCTACGGGAAACAGCGCGATGTCGCGGGACTGGCATGTCGACAATGTCGACACCCGAGATCTCAGAGCCGCGGTCGCGCTGTTCCAAGGGGGGCGCTGGCCGAGCTTCTCCTCAAGGAAGGCGCGCATCTTCTTAGGTGTCGCCCTAGGGCACGCCAAATACGGCGAAAAATCGAACCAGCTCGGCCTCGTGATCTTCTAGCTCTTGCATTCGCTGCTGGCGCCTTTCAACGATCTCTTCCGATCTCTCGGAGAGTCTCGGCGCCGTCTCATTTGCCCTGCTTCTGTTGCGGTGGATGTCTTCAAGCATGCTCAACTGTTCTGCCTTTATCGCGGGGTCGTCTTGTTCCCTGAACTCCTTGCTCCTGGCGCATTCTGCGCACCTCTCGGCACCTCCGCCCAGATGCCCCCTGCGCGCGGGTTTCGCGCACCCCGCGCAAATCCCGACGAAAAGGTATGGACCTACGTGGCACGGCTCATCTGGCGCGCCCGCTCGAGTTCGGATCAGCGCAGCCGCCCTCGCTCGGACTGGGCGAGCAGCAGTCGGGCTCCGGGGAGACTCAACGTACGTCGGCTGAGCCGGCGTTGAGTTGGCCCTCTCCTGTGATCCAGCACCTCCCGGCAGAGCCGTAGGTGCGAGCCTGACCTCTGGCGCAGCTACCGCGCCAGGTTGCCTAGCTGTCTGGATCTTCTCAAGGGGGTCTCTCGCAGTCTTGCGTTGCTCTAGGTCAGACTTTAGCCTTCAATTCTCTTCGCTCACGGCACGAATGACGAGTGCGTCGCTCTTGGCCCGCTCATCCGCGCACCCCTTTGCGTGGTTCCAGGCCTCCGCTATCCTTCTTTGGTCGTCATGCCTAATGGCCTGGGCCCCCTGATCCTGCCCCCGGTGTGTTCGCGCCGCTTCTAGCCTTATCTTTTCGGCCTCGAGCCTGGCAGCATCGCGTTGGTTGCGGAGGTCCTATTCTCGTGCTGC